TGATAGAAAGTTTAAGCTACATACTATGACATCTATAATTGCCATTGAACATTCGCGATATCGGTTGTCATGTCAAAAGTTAGAGTCGCGACCGATCAATAATCGAACTGTAGCTGCAAATCGACACTTCTAAAAGCATTTTCGTTATGGGAAATAAGAATTACGGCCGAAGTTTCTAGAAGCTTTCCTCTATGGAAACAAATAGGAACCGCGGCCGATCGATAGACCGGTTGACATTAATCGTAGCGTCGCGAAATCGCTAATTAATGCTCGCGCGCTTATTAGGCCCGTTTGCGGTTAGCAACGAATTCCCCATAAATAACGAGCCGTGACAACCACTCGGTCATTATACCGCTGCATCTGCCAGACTGAAGACGTAAGTGACGTTTGCTCACCGATCAAGAGTGAACAGTTGAAATAAACCGGACGCCTGATCGAACCAGTGTGGCCAGATTTAGCATAATTGAATGCATCGTCGTCGACACTAGAAACGACAAACTTCCTTAGCATCTAACGGAATGGTGGGGATAGCAGACATATATTACCGCACGAGCCACGTGTACGTGAACTCGGCACTTTGCGCAGCCTTGCGAGAAATTGAGAAAGAAAGTAAGTGTCAGCCTTTCCTTCTTGCTCACTAACAGCTGAAATTCGACCTCGCGACAATCGGCATACGTAAGGTATAAGCAAAGAACCATAATGAACAGAAAATTTCGAAAATTTTTTTAGCGAAAACACACGTTTTAAGATCCCCTGATCATATTGTGACTATTAAAAAAAATTTTCTTTTTCTGTGCCTATTTACGCATTTACATACGTATGCTATTAACATAATTGCGTCTAAACGGCTGAATGAATTTCAATGAAACTTTACATTTAAGTTTTATGTTCCCGTTTCAAGGTCTGATTAGATTTTGAGCGTAATCAGCTCCCGGGTAATGATGATTATACGTCTTGTAGTTTTTAAATTATTCCGATACATATACAATTACCGAAAAAAGTATCCATACACCGCAACACGTTCAGTTTAAACACTGATAACTTTGATTATAGAAGGCTAATTAGATATGAGAAGCACATATGCAGTTGGAACATTAATTCAGCTTTCAAATAGTATGAATTTGATTATGATTTAAATAAAAATACAACAGACAAATCTCAAATGCCGAATGAAGTAAGAAAATCAGCGAGAAAAAAGTATTCATACAGAATTTTGTTTGTTTGTAAATCAGTCATATTTATAGTAATTAATATTTTGTAGGATAACCGTTATTATCAATAATCGCTTGTAATCGCGTGGGCATAGATTCAATTAAATTATTTGTTACATTTCTCTTCATTTTTTGCCATTTCTTTTGCAAAGCATTTTTTAAATCATTTTTATTTGTAATTTTATATTTTTGCAAACGATGTTTCAATTCTAGCCACACATGCTCGATTGAATTTATGTCTGGTGATTGCGGAGGAGTTTCCAGAACGTGAGGCGTATTATATAAAAGCCATTCTCTAATTACTTAAATGAGTCTTGTGAATGGGAGCGTTATCTTGCTGAAAATAGTAATTGTCAGAAAGACCTAATTTTCGTGCGCTGTCTTTCAAATTTGATTTTAAAATATCTAAATATTTATATTGGTCTACTATTCATACAGCCCCATACCATAAGGCTACTTTCATCATGTTTGACTGTAGGTCTAATATTTTTGGGCCTTAAAGATCCTCTCTTTTTTCTGTATACTAATTTTCGTCCATCTGAACCTCAAAGTATTAAACTTGTTCTCGTCTGAGAAAATAACTTGTTTCCAAAAATCTGATGATTTATGTAAATAAATTTTTGCGGAATTAAGTCTTTTTTCTCTATTCACCTTATTGACATAGGGTTTTCTCCTCGCTACTCGTACAAAGTACCCTGATTCTTTAAGTTTGTTTGATATAGTTTTTGAACAAAGTTTGTTACCAGTTCTTGCTTCTAATTCTGCTGCGATTTTAGGTGTACTTTTATTTTCTTTGTAATAAATCTTTCATCCCTTTCAGTTAACTAGCTCGGTTTCCTGGAACGACGCATATTTTTAATTAATCCTGTACTTTTGTACTTATTAACTATATATTGTACACTAACATGACTCCTTTTTACCATTTCACCAATCTCGCGAAGTGATTTCCCACTTTTCCATAGTTCAATTACAATTTTTCTCTCCTCTATTGTAATTTCCTTACTTTTAGCACTCATGATAAAAATGATGATTCTTTAACAAACCACGCCAAGAATTGACGAAATACTATGAAACAAAAGAAACAAAAATAAAAAAAAAACGAGATTCTCCCAAGATTTTGAGTTTTATTGGTATATTTCGTCAATAGATATCACGTATGAATACTTTTTTCTCTCTGATTTTCTTACTTCATTCGGCATTTGAGATTTGTCTGTTGTATTACTATTTGAAAGCTGAATTAATGTCACAACTGCATATGTGCTTCTCATATCTAATTAGCCTTCTATAATCAAAGTTATCAGTGTTTAAACTGAACGTGTTGCGGTGTATGGATACTTTTTTCGGTAATTGTATATGTATCGGAATAATTTAAAAACTACAAGACGTATAATCATCATTATCCGGGAGCTGATTACGCTCAAAATCTAATCAGACCTTGAAACGAGAACATAAAACTGAAATGTAAAGTTTCATTGAAATTCATTCAGCTGTTTAGACTCAATCATGTTAATAGCATACATATGTATGTGCGTAAATAGGCACAGAAAAAGAAAATTTTTTTTTGTGACACTGCTTCGCTGCGGTTAGGAACTCGGGAAATTCGTAGGAGGGCAGGAAAGGAAAGGAGAGGACGCGTTTCGTTCGGACCTGCTAGTGGACTCATCAATAAGGTTTTTAGCAGGCTCTGCCTTAGATGACTGGGATGTTGGGAAGTTGTTTGAGCATTGTATATATAGCAACCGAGGAGTCGGTCGAGCGCTTGTGAGAGCGTGACCCTTCTGGTGGCGAACATGGGAGGCGACGCCACATTTTAATAGTCACAACATGATCAGGGGATCTTAAAACGTGTATTTTCGCTAAAAAAATTTTTCGAAATTTTTTTTCGTTATTGAAATTCATTTATCCGTTTAGACGCAATCATGTTAATAGTATAGAAACAAAAGAAATTTCTTTTTATTTAATAGTTACAATATTATTAGGAGGTCTTAAAACGTGTTTTTCGCTAAAAAAATTTTCGAAATTTTTTGTTCATTATGGTACTTTCCTTATACCTTACATAGGTCGGAAAGTAAAAATGCTGGGGCAGTCGAGACTTGAAATCGCATGCCGATTATCGCGGGGTCGTATTCCAGCTGTTTCTCTTTTACAAGAGCAAGAAGGAAAGACTCACACTAGCGTTCTTTATCGTTTTCCCGAAATTGTGCGAAGTGCCGAGCTCACGTATACGTGGCTCGTGCGGTAGCATGTACCTACTATCCCCACCACTCCATTAGACGCTAAGGAAGTTCGTCGTCACTATTGTCGATTTCGATGCACTCAATTATGCCCGATCTGGCCACACTGTCATTGCATTCTTCTCGAAGGACAGATCCTGTATCGCGTTGAAAAACTTTCATTCACAGAATTAATTTTTTTATCTAGTTCCTGCTGATATCTATTACCAATCATTTTTTTATTCATTGCTTTATTTATTGACGAAGCTGATTTCATCAGAGACTACATAACCAATTTTCATAATACCCGCCACTTCATCGGAGAAAATCCACTTACTATTCTTTAATGAAATATAAATAACTATTTACGTTCTACGATGAAACTAAATCCCTAAATTTGTTTAAACGGATTTGTTCAAAGAAGTCAATTTTGATGGTGCAATTGACGAATTTGTTAACATAAAAGTAAGAAACATTCAATTAATTTAAAATATTAGCATTTAGTTGCCTTGCAGTATTACATGTTATTTTATTTCTAACGATAATTAATGCTCAATGAGCAATGTCCATACCTTACACTTACACAATGTTCTTTCCTCGATCGCCCATTTCATATATGTATAATTGTTGAGGGGTTGAGCAAAATAATTTGGTGAAAGAAACTTTCTGATATGCTCAACTTCACACGTCAACGTTAATGACGAGTGAATATTTGTGGGATACGGAAGGAAAAAACTTGAATCATAATCAGTAGAATCTTGTAACAAGCAATAACAATTTATTCTACGTCGGATAGCCGAAATGTACAAAGTCTTGAATATACTATTGATGAGTGGTATTTAAGAGTCAATTTTGATCTGGTCTCTGGGCCAAGGCTGCCTAAGAAGCTGTAATGTATGGATGGTAAAGAAGATGCGGTAGTTACCGGCACGGTATGGGATACGGGAGCGAGACGGCCGGGGAATCGGTATTGATCAGTATGTCATGGGTAGTGAGTCCAGCATGGTCTGTCAGGTTTTGAATCGTGCTGTTAAGTAAATAACTATACATATAGAAACAGTGAGTATTGTTACGTGCCCTTTCCCAAAGACATCACAATTTTGGCGACGAGGATAAACGAACAAGTTTTCACGGAAAACTGAAATAGCACACGCCATAAGTGTATCCACGTGTAAACGGAAGCACGATAAACAAGTAAAAGTGTTCGCTGCGTAGAAGAAAGGCCGGACTGTAAATAGAAGATCGCAGGATCAGCAGTAAAATTTGGTACGTTGGACAATAGCAAGATACAAGTAGATGATAAAGTAGGTAAAACGAATATAAGAATGTTTAACGGATGTCTGGCGTAAATGAGAAAATTGATTATACAAAAACGTCGTGGATATATTTATTGAATAAGCCACAAATAATTAAGATCCTAGCTTCGTTAGGATTGGAATACGACGAAAAGTGCGGAATAAATGAATTGCGTAGAATTTTACGTACCCATGTTAGCGACGTAAACAAGGAAACCGGCAATAAGGAATCGCGAGGCGAAGTAATCGATAACAACGGAGAATCGGAAGTGATTCACACAATGGCAGAGGGCAACGGCAATAATAATGCGAAGCTAGAATTCCAGTTAGGTAAAGATGATTGGGAAACATACGCGGAGAGATTAGAATTGTATTTTGTAGCGAATGATGTGAAAACAGAAAAGCGGGCCGCAGTTTTATTGACAAAAATAAGTGCTGATACATATAAACTCGTACGGGATTTATGCGCGCCAGATAAGCCAAGTACAAAGACCTTCGAAGAGTTAGTCAAACTGATTGGTAATCATCTAAATCCAAAGCCGTCTGAAACGATGGAAAGATACACATTTTATCAAGCGCAACAAGCAATGACAGAATCGGTGGCAGATTTTGCGGCAAGGTTGAAGAGGTTGTCAATAAATTGCAAAGGGTATAGCCGAATAAGGGGGTCAAATGTGCCCCCAAACCGAATGGAACGAGCCACGGGTCATTCGATAGCAAAAAAAAAATAACCCCTGTGTGCAAATTTTTAACTTGAAATCTCGACCGTGGGGGTAGTAATGGGGTGAAAACGAAAATCATGTTTTTGAATTATTTCTCTTGACCTATTGAGTAAAAAAATGTAAAAAAATTCAGAGACATTTCGGGTACCGGGGCATATACTTTGGGAGATTTTCAGATTTTTTGATTGAAGAACCAGGTAGTGAAAAATAAAAAACAGCAAAAAATGCCGAAAAATGCCGATTACGTATTGAAGGAGGCCCGGAACTACTTTTATACTTTTACAGTAAACAGGTATTACTATTACTATTACTCTCAATTTTTTTCAGATTTTTCATTTTGGTGCGCCGCAGTGAAAAAAAATAAAAACCGAGTTTTTCCTCGTTTTCTGCGTATTAGAGTAACTTACACGTTGAATTTTTATGCATCCTTCAATATATAAGTGTTTTGTAGACTGTTTAATGTTTCTACACTAAGCAGAATTACATAACAATTGAAACAAATAAAATAAAGCCAACCATTGGGTCTATATATCCTAAAAAATCAACGATATTTTCAACGGCGTCGATGGCGCAGCGTTAGATTGTCCGACTGCTGAACCGCTGGAAGTTTTTTTACCGTAGGTTCGAGTCTCTCTTCTGGACTTAGTATTTTTTTTTCTTCATTATTTTTTTTTTCAAATTCTAACTATATAACAATGCTTTATATTTATTTATAAATGTTCTGATAGTATTTTACAAATATTTTAACCTGAAATATGTATAAATATAGTCTTGGAGTGTTTTTTGCGTTTTTATTTTTTTTGTCAACCACGATTATTGTTTAACATCTCTTACACTGAAATTAATGTGAAATGTTAGTTTTCAAATCTCTTACCTTTGACTATTGTGAATGGATCGGAGCAGAAGATTGTATATTGGATTACTATTACTTCTTCTCGCCCTTCGATCAAGCAGATCTTTCCTTCTCGTTCTCTTTCTTTGATAAATATGAATGTTTGCTGCGGCTTTAGTATCTAACGTAGACATGTAAGGGTTATTATCCTTTCCTTACTGCTGGTTTTAAAGATAATGAAAACACTTGTAGGACCAACCTCTACGGACCATGCCAAGTAATTATGTATAAATCCCATCGCATACAGTAGCTTGAACTGAGTAATTAAAAAATACATTGTGAAACCCGAACGCGACAATCACCCATTGACCTGAACGGTCTGGGCCCTCACCCAACGAACCTTTATTTCCTTCGTAACGCAGGTAGGACAATTAATCATTTTTCCCCGTGGTTTCCATCGAGCAATGATACTTCATTCAAAAATAAGCATGAAACGATCAAACTGGTACTTAAAAATGGGTTTATTAGAAAAAAGTATCATTGGCAGAGAGTGGGTTAATAGATTTGGCGTGGAATGGCCCTTACATGTCTACGTTAGATACTAAAGCCGCAGCAAACATTCATATTTATCAAAGAAAGAGAACGAGAAGGAAAGATCTGCTTGATCGAAGGGCGAGAAGAAGTAATAGTAATCCAATATACAATCTTCTGCTCCGATCCATTCACAATAGTCAAAGGTAAGAGATTTGAAAACTAACATTTCACATTAATTTCAGTGTAAGAGATGTTAAACAATAATCGTGGTTGACAAAAAAAATAAAAACGCAAAAAACACTCCAAGACTATATTTATACATATTTCAGGTTAAAATATTTGTAAAATACTATCAGAACATTTATAAATAAATATAAAGCATTGTTATATAGTTAGAATTTGAAAAAAAAAATAATGAAGAAAAAAAAATACTAAGTCCAGAAGAGAGACTCGAACCTACGGTAAAAAAACTTCCAGCGGTTCAGCAGTCGGACACTCTAACGCTGCGCCATCGACGCCGTTGAAAATATCGTTGATTTTCTAGGATATATACACCCAATGGTTGGCTTTATTTTATTTGTTTCAATTGTTATGTAATTCTGCTTAGTGTAGAAACATTAAACAGTCTACAAAACACTTATATATTGAAGGATGCATAAAAATTCAACGTGTAAGTTACTCTAATACGCAGAAAACGAGGAAAAACTCGGTTTTTATTTTTTTTCACTGCGGCGCACCAAAATGAAAAATCTGAAAAAAATTGAGAGTAATAGTAATAGTAATACCTGTTTACTGTAAAAGTATAAAAGTAGTTCCGGGCCTCCTTCAATACGTAATCGGCATTTTTCGGCATTTTTTGCTGTTTTTTATTTTTCACTACCTGGTTCTTCAATCAAAAAATCTGAAAATCTCCCAAAGTATGTGCCCCGGTACCCGAAATGTCTCTGAATTTTTTTACATTTTTTTACTCAATAGGTCAAGAGAAATAATTCAAAAACATGATTTTCGTTTTCACCCCATTACTACCCCCACGGTCGAGATTTCAAGTTAAAAATTTGCACACAGGGGTTATTTTTTTTTGCTATCGAATGACCCGTGGCTCGTTCCATTCGGTTTGGGGGCACATTTGACCCCCTTATTCGGCTATACCCTTTGTAGAGACAAAAGTAGCACTACGGGACCAGTTTGTGTGTGGTCTAAAAGATCATGAGACAAAAAAGGCTTTATTCAGAGAGGAAAAATTAACATACGACTTGGCATACAAGATAGCCACGGCATTAGAAGCGGCAGAGAGAAACGCAGTAACAACGGATAAAACAACTGAGGAGCCATCGAAATCGACAGTAAACATGATCCAGTCGAATACAAAGACAGAGAGACGACCATTCTATCCAAGTGCGAGAGGAAGAGGTGCCATACGTGGAAGTAGACAAGGACAGCGATACAAGAGTACAGCACTAGTTAACAAAAGAAAGGAAGGTCCAAACGACGAGCCAAACAAGGGGAAACTGAACGCTCAGCATTTAAGACAAGGTTCGTGTTATTGTTGCGGTAAGACCAATCACTGGGCACGAGATTGCTTCCACCGCCATAGAACGTGCAATACTTGCAAGAGGAGAGGGCATCTAGCAACAGTTTGCAGATCGCGGCTACAGCACCTAAAGCAAGAGGACGAGGCGGAAGGGCACCAACGAAGGGAGAGCACGTCCGATGACTTCTTCATGGTCCGAGGAGACAACAAGAGGGAGGAATGGGAATCAATTGTCGGTAATATAGGTAGTATAAGCAATGAATTAAAAGCAGATCCTATGTATGTAAATGTAATAATTAATGATATCAAGGTAAAAATGGAAGTTGACACAGGATCGTACGCGGCGATCATTTCAAAGTACGATAAAGACAGAATGTTTCCATCGCTAGGAGTGAAGGCCACGTATAGGCCATTGAAAGCATATGGTAAGGTTCCGCTTGAGCAGGTGGGAGAGTTACAGAATTTAAACGTAAAGGTTGGAGATAAGAAAGCTTTATTAAGAATGATAGTAATGAAAGAAAGGGGTCCAATTCTGATTGGTAGAGAGTGGCTTAAAGTGTTCGGAATGTGGCCATTAAAGTTTAATTGTAACGAAAGAGGGATTGGCTGTAATAAAATAGAATTAATAGATATGACAAAAGATTTTGTGCTCAAATTTCCAAAGTTGTTCGGAAAAGGACCGGGATTATACAATAAAGGGATGCTTAAGCTAACGCTAAAAGAAAATGCCCAACCAGTAGCGCTCAAGGCGAGACATTTACCATTTGCGCTAACGAATAAGGTCGAAGATGAAATTAATAGATTAGTAAAGCTGCAACATCTCGAGAAAGTAGACGTTAGTGAGTGGGCTACACCAATAGTACCGGTAATTAAATCAGACGGGTCCGTGAGAATTTGTGGTAATTTTAAATTGACGTTAAATCCGCAACTAGTAAAAGACAGGCATCCTATTCCACTGATTGATGAGATTTTTTTGGCATTGAGGAATGGGAAAAAATTTTCGCAAATCGATTTAGAGCATGCGTATATGCAGATTCCGGTAGAGGAAAGTAGTAGAGATTATTTAACGATAATAACGCACAAGGGTTTATATCGGTATACAAAAATGACAGAAGGAGTGGCGTCGGGCCCGGGGGATTTTCAAAGGAAAATTGAGCAATGTTTGGCAGGAATTGACGGAGTAATTCCTTACCTAGACAACATATTTTGCACCGGAAGAGACGATAAAGAGCACCTACAAACACTTTACAAGGTGTTTACGCGACTCGAAGACAGCGGATTTAAAGTAAATCTAAATAAATGTGAAGTGTTTAAAGAAAGATTAGATATTCTGGGATTTGTCATTGATAAAAACGGGTTACATAAGTCGGAAACGAAAGTAAAAGCAATGATCGAGGCACCGACACCCGTGAATAAAAAACAATTAGATTCATTTCTGGGGTTAATTACCTATTATGCGAGATTTTTGCCAAACAGAGCGGAAAAGTTAAAACCACTTTATGAATGTGCGAAGAATGGCGAGTATAAATGGACGAAAGAATGCGAACAAGCGTTTAAAGAGGTCAAATCGGAAATAGTATCACCGCGAGTATTAGCGCATTTTGATCCGAAAGAAGATATTATTTTGTCATGCGATGCGTCGGCATACGGGTTAGGAGCGATACTTTCCCATAGATATAGAGACGGTACCGAAAGACCGATAGCATTTGCATCAAAGATTATTCCCGAGAAGGAGAGGAGTCGCGCTATCATTGATAAGGAGGCAAATGCAATAGTGTATGGATTTAAAAAATTTTATAATTACATTTACGGTAAAGAAATAACATTAAGGACGGATCATAAACCGCTGGTTTTTATATTTGGTCCAAAGCAAGAGATCCCATTAACGACGGCAAGTCGATTGCAAAGATGGGCATATTTTTTATCAAGGTTTTCTTACAAAATGGAATATGTTAAATCAGAGAAAAACGGTAATTGTGACGCACTGTCACGCCTTCCAATCAATGACACGATTCCAGTATTTGGCAACGAATTTACAACAATAAATTATGTAGAGGAAACATTAGATACAGTAAACGCGGCAGAAATTGTAAAAGAAACGAAGCGTGATCAGGTACTCAGTAAAATAGTACGGTATGTAAACGGGTCATGGCCCAGCATGAACGATATGAATGAAATAGAAAAGAAGTACTACACGAAGCGAGACGAATATAGTGTTGAAAAAGGATGTTTATTGTGGGGATATAGAATTGTGGTGCCAGTGTCAGTGCGGGAAAAAGTGTTACGTGAACTTCATGCATCACACTTTGGCATAGTGAAAATGAAGATGGTGGCGAGATCGTATGTGTGGTGGCCGAACATAGACAGTGATATCGAAAAGATCGCGGCTTCATGTAAGGTATGTGTGCAAGAGCGAAAGAAACCGGCGAGCGTGCCGTTGACGCCATGGCCGTACCCCGATAAATGTTGGAGTAGAATACACTCAGATTTCTTAGGTCCGTTTCATGGACGTATGTTTATGTTAGTTATAGATGCTTATTCTAAATGGCCGGAAATTATTGATATGGGTAAAAGTACCACGGCACCGCGAGTAATAGAGGTATTCAAGAAAATTTTAGTTCGCTTCGGCTTACCAAGACATTTAGTTACAGACAACGGCACCCAATATAAAAGTGAAGAATTTCAAAAGTTCTGTCGAGACAACGGTATTAAACAGAGTTTCACACCTCCACATCATCCGGCGACGAACGGTGCAGCGGAAAATTTCGTTGAGACATTTAAAGACAAGGTCGATAAGATTGTTCGAAGTGGTAAGCCACTTGAGTATGCTATCAATCTTTTTCTATTTGATTACCGGTCCACGGAACATTGTACTACAGGTAGAACGCCCGCGTTCATGATGTACAAACGGGAGTTAAGAACGCGATTTGACTTACTAAGACCTAGCGTAAGAGATGATGTAGCTGATAAACAACTTGCGCAAGTAACACGTAAGAAAGGCAGCCGTAAGGTACATTTCAAAAAGGGTGACACAGTAATGGTAGACGACTTCTCTGTGCGTAATACAAAGCGTGCGGAGGGGACTATAGTAAAGCAATTGTCACCGGTAACGTTTGAGGTAAAAACATCAACGGGTAAAATCTGGAAGCGTCATGTAGACCAAATTATTAGAGTTAATGAAAATAATGACACGTCCGAGACTATACCGGAGAATATGAGTACTGCGAAAGAGTCACAGGGTACATTGCGTCGCTCCGAACGGCTAAAGGAAAATAAAAAAGAGAGGGAGGAAATTGTAATGTATGGATGGTAAAGAAGATGCGGTAGTTACCGGCACGGTATGGGATACGGGAGCGAGACGGCCGGGGAATCGGTATTGATCAGTATGTCATGGGTAGTGAGTCCAGCATGGTCTGTCAGGTTTTGAATCGTGCTGTTAAGTAAATAACTATACATATAGAAACAGTGAGTATTGTTACGTGCCCTTTCCCAAAGACATCACAGAAGCTAACCTCGCCATGGGCGTACCCAAGGCCATGGGAGGCAGCATCGGTCTTAGATTGGTCAAAAATTGCCAATGTACTGGCCAATCAGTTTGGAGGCGAAGTTGATCGGTGGGAGGTGGCATGTAACGGTTATTTTTAATAATTTTCCCTGACTCCCCATAAAACATCTGGCACTGGTTTTCGATGTTATTGCAGGTAATAAAGTCATAGAACGCCTCGATGTGGAGGGTCATGCAGATTTGAATGAATTTAATAATTAAATACCCGTCTTAATGGCACTTGATTATAGGCAAAACTTGATTGTATGAAAGGTCTGACTCTACATCCGCTGGCTTTATGAATTTACTGTTACGCTGCAATACAGAATAAATCGTAATTGTTATTTCTCGTCGTAACAATAATATATGTATATATTTTTTATATAGTAAGATATAAATATCAATATTTTATAACTTAATGAAAATTTGCGGTAATTTTTGATCGAAAACATGATTCTTTAATCAATTTTTATGTAAAATACAGAATTACTGAAAACATATCGAGAACACTCCTGTTGTCTTTCTTTCTGCAAATTCAAAACTTCATTTTCTAGAAATTAAAACTGAATTGAGATATTTCAAAACGCAAGGAAGTCAAAAACAGAGCACATAGTGATCTTCAGCGTACCGCCATTTTGTTATCGTTTGAGATATTGATTCTTTCTTATGTAGTATAATAGACGTAGGCTTCTAGCTTCCAATAATTTTTGAGTCTTTGATTTCTGATGAACCATCGGTCTAATAATTTAGAACATCTACATACTATTTAATATATACATTTTATAACTAAGCAATATATGTATAATGTAGGTACAGTTAAACTTATAATGTACAGTTAAAATTATTTCATATAACTTACAATTTAATATCTTTTTAATAATTTCTTAATAGAGCATTTACATCGCTACTTAATTCTACAAATTTTTTTGGGTTCTGTTCTTAATGTATTTATGTATAGATCAGAGAAAACAAACAGTATATACATAATATCTACATTCGCGAATATTTTCACTCGTGGTTCAAACGATATCGTCTGTAATCCTTATTGCGTGCTCCTTGGGCGTCCTTTGATAACATGGCAGTTAATATTATTTTACTGGCATGTAAGCATGTAAGCAAACGAATCAACCAGTGCATATTGTGGTGATACATTCTCGCATTCGCCAACAGAGGACTATGCTCTCTCACGAGTACTCGATCGCCCACCAATTCCTATACAGGGTGGTCGGCTACCTCTGAGAAAAATTTTAATGGAAGATTGTAAAAGCCAAAATAAGACAAAAATCAAGAAGACCAATTTGTAGAGTGATAATCTGCGAATAGATGCGTGCACGTGATAGAGGTTCTCACTCAGCATGGGAAACTCTACTTACTAACGTATCAACAGCCTTACAGACAGAGAACCACTATCGCACGCACGCACGCGCTGTTCGCAGATTGCCGTTCTACAGGCGGAACTTTAAACGTTAATAACTTTTTAACGAGGCCTCAATCAACAAATTAATATTTTGATTTTTGTCCTATTTTGGCCTTTAGAAGCCCATTAAGTTTTTCCCCAGAAGTAGCCGAACGCCCTGTATATACGTTTCTCGATTAACCATCTCAGCAGATCCCTTTTCTCCTGCTATGTTGCTTACTCACTTTCTCAATACAACAAACCGCTACATTATTTCCCCCCCTTAAACAGTTATCCGGTTGGCGAAGGATATACTGGAGAGATTATTTTAACAAAGCTAAATTGTAGAAGAAAATGTCTATTAAATTCACAATAATTTTCAGTGAGTTCTCAATCCTTTATATTTTAATCTAAAAAAGTTTGGCATGGTGTAGATGTAAAAATGATAAGGAAAAACGTCCATGAAACTTCGCATAGATAAAACCCAGTATTCGGCCAGTTTTTCTCGATAGTGAGTTAATGTCATGCCATAAATACGGTATCGTGAAGGGTCATTCTTCATATTTTCGATAGGATATGAAGGATAGCATTCATGCGAGCGTAGAAAAAAGAAAATGTCAAGCAGAACTGTTGAACAAACGATCTCAACTGTCCACCGGTGAACAATGAGGTACGAGCTACAATGATGGGCAAAGTTCGACGTACTCGGTGAATTGTATCGTGTTCGTGGTTTGGAGACTGCTTTTATGCTCACCCCTTTCTCCAGTAGCTGCTCCTTCATCGCAAAAACCCATACACCGTAATAATACAGAGTTATCAGAATGTCCGAGCCGTTTGCTTGCGCGTTTCCAGCTGCTATGGCTCGGTTCGATACAACTTGTCGTGAATACCTTCGTTCCTATCCGCTTTCACGCGAAGCCAGAAATTTGTAATTGACATGCATTGACAACAACACGAAGCGCTTCGACAGTGTCAAGGGCTAATAACCCTGATACTGTGAGTATTACAGATTTGGATATAGGATATTCCATTGTTCAAATTATTTTATACATATTTAATTTCTTATCTTTACCTTAGTTTAACACAAAACAAAGCTGAATTTTTAATCGCTCATTTCATACTTGATGCTTTTTAAATATTACTGTATTGTCATACGCATCAAAAGGGTAGGAAAGATCGGGTATGATGGTTTCAGGATTAAAATTTTTATTTTTAACGCTATTGTGTTTCCAGCTATTATTTCCGAGATGTGGCCATTAATATGTACCTTGACCTAACTCAGTTTTTCCAACACTTTGAGACATGAATGAATGAGATAGTAGTTACGCGTGATTTGCAATTAAATTTTGAATGGAAACATATTGAAAAAATATAGGATAATACAATTTATAATAACAATATAATTGATATTTTATTTTTATTATCGATAAATTATAACTTTAATAAAAGTTATGAATTATAATTAGAGTTACATATTATGATATAATCAATGATACCTAGTTTCCTTCTTTCACAACAAAATTTTAGCAAACTTAACATATTTAACAAAAATTATAATTTCAATTACAGTTATTGCATCTATTTGTAGGACGTTCTCTAGTATAATTCTTGTGGGCTAAATCTTTGCAGTTTAAACATTAGATCCATTGTTCTCCCGGTCGACTGCTCCGAGAAAAAGTTTGAGCAGACCAATTCTTTTTCTTTAGTATCTTCAATAGTTTTTTCTTCCTGGTTTTTTTTCACGTTCTTTAGAGAAGCTTATAAATATAAATACTTCATTTCTTTTCACCAATTTTGTTGGCCGATTTCGTGTTTGTATTTTTTAAGTTATCTGCTGTTTTTCTTTTTTTTTATTTTCTATGAATGAAGATTCAGTAAGAAAGATTAATTGTCTTTTATGGTGATTAATTTCACTGATATATTTCCCGCTACCGGTTTTTGGAAATGGTCTTACATTTGTAAGTAGAACATTTAATCCACTATAACCAGGTTCTTCATATGTAACAATCAGCCCAGTAAATTCGAAACTATTATATAGTGCATCTGAACAAGTAAATCATAGTAATTCATGCGACATATATATAAATTACAAACCAAATTACGAAGAAAATATTGTCAATAATTATTTACAACTGTTCCAAATTATTAATTTGATTTATATCACAGATTCGAATGATATAAATTATCATAAATGCAAATGAAAAAATTAAAAATTAAAAAAAAAATGATGTTTGGGATTCAATTCTACTATCAGATAGCAAAACCTGACAAATATGCCACTTTGTCGTAAAAGTTGAGGTATACAGGGTGGGGCAATAACACAGTACGAAGGGGGCCATCTGGTGGCGACAATAGTTTTTTTGCTGGTGGAGATACTTCGGATATTTGAAGGTCACCTCCATTTTTTTAAATGGATCGGTATGTTTTTGCTTCCGTATCATGATAGAGGATCTTAAAACGAGACAAGGTCATAGAAAGTAGAGAAAGACGATAATACTTATGGTTTTGGTAGTAAATGAAACATAAGTTTATAGTAGGTGTTCAAAATGATGACCATAATTGTCAATGCACCATTGGATTCTTTTTACGATTGATTGACTTGGAAGTCTGTCAAGAAGTCTGATTGACTTGCAAGTCTGTCAAATCTGTCAGAACTTATTGACGCACAGGCTGCAATAATTCGCTGTTGCATGTCGTAAGGTGTAGTTGGTACTTCTTGGTACACTTTCTCTTTCAGTGTTCCCCAGAGAAAGAAATCTAGAGGTGTTAAGTCTGGTGAACGAGCTGCCCACGATATTGGACCACCGCGTCCAAACCAACGATTTCGAAATTTTTTATCAAGTTCCCTTTGCGCAATCAATGAATAATGTGCTGGACATCCATCATGTTGACACCACATGGTTTGTCGTGTAAGTAACGGTAACTCTTCTAACAAAAGACCTAATGTATCCTTAACAAAATTAACATAGATGTTGCCATTCAAATTTCCACTGATGGAATAAGGACCAATAATTTTATTACATCATTGTTTTTGATGTTCAACCTGTCGCAGCCTATGTAGATTTTCCACTGCCCACAAAAGGCATGTTATGCAAATTAACATTCTCGTGATTTGTGAATGTTGCTTCATCAGTAAATAAGACGGTATTAAGAAAAAACTCATTGTTTCGAATCTGATGTTTAGTCCATCGACAAAACTTAACGCGATTCATGACGTCGTTCCCATGCAATTCTTGGTGAAGACTAACATGGTATGGATGGTAAGGGTGCAAAATGCGAAGTACGCTCCTCCTACTAATGCCAGATTCACGTTCAATTTGTCGCGAACTAATATGAGGATTTCTAGACACACTTGCGAGCACACCGATTTCTATTTCTTCGTTAGGTACTCGTTTCTGGCGTTCACTTTTACGAACACTTAAACTACCGGCTTGTCTAAGTTTATCACACACATTTTTAAATGTTTGATGCGAAGGCTGAAACCGATGTGGATATCGTTCAGCACAAAAGTTTTTCGCCCTTACACAATTTTGTTGGTATTCGCCATAAATAAGAATAATATCGTTACTTGCTCTGCAAACGGATACATCGTACCGGATTTACCGATTTATCGATACTAATCTTATCATGTTTATCTTATCCTGCAAACTTATTAAAATGTCCTTCAAGCAGCATTTATTCTCAGTGAAGTAAACGATAAGCATTACGCCTTCCTCTACTGTTTACAATACGTATGTTTCATTTACTACCAAAACCGTAAGTATTATCGCCTTTCTCTACTTTCTATGACCTTCAATGACCTTATGTAATAGGTCGTTGAATTCGTTTTAAGATCCTCTGTCATGATACGGAAGCAAAAACATACCGATTCATTTTAAAAAATGGAGGTGACCTTCAAATATCCGAAGTATCTCCACCTGCAAAAAAACTATTGTCGCCACCGGATGGCCCCCTTCGTACTGTGCAATTTTATTTCAGCAAATATTTCTGTAAAACTTATAGTTTCCGAGATATCTGAGGTGCTAATAGTTATTACCCCACCCTGCATACTTTCATATCTCATGATATGTCAAATAGTTTAAAATTTTGTATATTTACATTCAAACCTCTGTTTCTTCCCCAATCTAGTGTATTCTGCGACAAATCACAGCTTCAGAACATACAAATATTATTTGTCTTCGAAACTGATATTCTCCAACTCGAGCATTCTCATACAGTCAGAGAAATATTTAAGCTCACAGTCAGTCTGCAAATAAACACCAGTCAACGAGAATCATCTTCTTATTTTTATTTAACAACTATCCCGGCACGTATTACTTTGTCGATTGAGAAGCGGGCAGTTCGCAGGACCAACCTCCACCAATATATATACTAAAACAAATTGAAGACCTTACAACAAAAGGGATGTAACTTCATTTTTACCACTTTTGAGTAAACTAAAAGAACTATTTATAAAAATGATGGCTTTGCTAAACATTAACAAACATAACGCTAATTGAAAGATGACATATTCCTACACAATAATTAGTGGTTATTGAGTTGCTACGTTTTTATCTGTATCTTTGGCAAATTATTAAAATCTGAAGCTACAATAGATTTGCACCGAAGCATGTAATAAATGGTCGCTGTTTGTTAAACTATGCACAATGAAGAACACAATTTATTGATCTATTGTGATATATGATTTTCTTTTTGTTAAAAAGTAATGGATATATACTTTTAACGTGTGAGTCCGGATAGAGGTGTGGGAGTATTATAGGGGAAGTGAATCGGACACAAATGATTTTCTTTTCGTCGGTCTTAAAGACCGACCTTTTATTATAAAATAGATAACAAAAAAAAACAGAAAATCAAATGAACAATTATAAAAACAAATTAACGAGACTGAACAAGGAATTAATGTGGCCTCGTGTCTGGCCTAGCTCGAGGCTGGGTCGCCGAATTCGCTAGATTGAGGCAGGCCAAGATTCCTATGAACAGAAAAACACGACTATGTGTTAGACACACGTACACGTTATACGTATCTTCGTCGCGCTCGTTTGCTCGCGCTCCTTGGTTCGTAATTCGAACGTATCGGAGCGGAGAAATGTAAACTTTCGTAAATTACGAAATATAAGTGGACTGTATTTTGGCTAGGAAAAGAATTAAACTTCTTTTCCTCGCCGATTCAGTGGTCGATTGCCCAGTGGACGGGGATGCAAGAGGAGGTTGTAAGGCTCCTAATGCACTGTTCCCGTGAATATGCACACTGAGTCTGTGCGTCGAGTCGCACTGCAGTGCACTACACGACCGTCAATCTGCGGCTTCTCTTAACACGTTCCAACAGATGACTTATTTGGCCGAGAGTTACACTGCGAAGCCCGACAACACGTTGTTCACTGCACGAATACACTACTCGACGTGATACGTTGCAGTATTTTGAACTACGCGGGGGCCTGACCCACGACTCCGTTACTTCTCCGCACTGGTGCTCCTCTAAACGTTACACCGGCGGGATCTGTAGAAATAAGGAGGCGAAGACCGAAAATCACACGTCCAAAATGGACGTGGACCTGACTACAGTGAGCCCACCAGGAGGTACACCACGTAGGTGCCTCCCTTTTGGTGTCTCCTAAGCCGAAGGGCAATCACACAGAAGTATGGGCGGTATCGCCGACTTCTGTATGATTCAACGTGTATACGTTGGAATCGACCTTTAAATTCCGCACAGGAGGGGTCGAACACCCTATTGGTGTATTCTCGAGCCCTCCAAAATATGCAGTAAATTTAAATTAATTAGACTCGATCGAGATTTGCTCGAACGAGAAGCAGGTGAACTTGCACGAATCGAGATGCGAATCGTGTTTTCCAAGCAAGGTGGGAATGAATTTCCGACCTTTTCGAGCAAGGCTCGCTACACCCTTTTAAACAGCAGTCTTTATGGCTTTCTCGCAAGAGGATTTTCCCTCTTCAATCGCGATTAACTTCTGATCGAAATATGATCGGGAGCCGATGCGTCTCGGTCAGAAGTCGCCGTAAGAATGATACGGATTGACAGCCGAAGACGTCGCCGCGGTACTCTTACTGGTCGTTCCGTGGCGCTGTCTGATTTTCGGCCGTCTCTCCTTGTCACATTATTGGCGCACTACTCTCTCACGGTACTGACGTCACTAACACCGTTAGCACACTCGAATCGAAAGGTAATGAGCCGTTACCGATGCCAGAAAAACTAATAATACACACGTTTTTCAATCACCGTTCGCTATACAAATCCAATTAGAGATAATCTCTTGGTTATTGTACGTTAACAGGATTAACGGTAATTGCGGCCGAGGCTAATCGCTCGGCATTATGCAATCTTTAAACATACCGCCCCCCTTGCACGGTCCGTGCAATGAACTAGGGAGCGATTCTACCGAATGGCCGCGACCCGAGTGAGAGTAGGCGCATGCAAATTTAAAAAAAATGCAATCTACTTACAGTTGTTGGGGGGTGGGGCCGCTGGTGGTTTTCCCTGCAGTACTTGCAGGGAATTAAGGACCGCCTGCAGGGCCTCCAACGGAATCATTTTCCCTCCGATTGTCGGTTGGGGTTGGCGGGCCTCCGCCTACGCCTTTCCTTCCGGCTCTCCGGCTTTTTTGGTCCGGTGTTCCGGTCCCCTCGGCTCGGCGGCGGGGGTTTGGCGTTGCCGTGGCCGCTTTTTCTCCGTCGCCTTTCTCGGCTGCCCGGCGGATGCAGGCGCAGCCGCTGCAGCTGACGCTGCAGGTGGAGTCGGCGTCGGTGGCTTGTCCTTCCGGTGGTCGATGGACTTCAATGTCCCGTCCTTGTACCACCGGAGGACGTAGCATCCTCCAGGGAGGAAACTCTTCCAGCGGCGACTGGTCCGGGGAATATGTCCCGGCACAGAAATTATCCCGGTTGCCCACCGGGAAAATCAGGGGCTCCTGGGCCCTTGCTGGTCGAGGGCACTGGCTGCATCTCCTCGACCTCCGTTTTTGTGCGGGGGCATTTCTGCCAGCCCTCCCAGCTGGAGGATTCGCTCGAAAGCGACGTCGAATCCCGGCGAGGATATCGCGGTTTCCGGGGTCGCGGGGCTCGAACTGGACCTTCGCCTTCCATGTTAATCACGAACTGATCTTTTCCGGCGAAGAGTCGTTCAAATTTCGATTTAGGGGCGTTAGCGGAGGCTAATTGTCCCCGTGCCTAAGCGATAACGAGATTGGTGGATATTACCCCCTACTTTCCGTTTTCGCATAGGCGACAAGTGGCCGGTGAGAATCAACCGTTCTCACCTTCCAAAATCCTTGTCTTTTCGAACTTGAACGGTTTTGTTTAGATCACCTGTTCGGCTTCGGGAACCGTTGCCGAAGGTGACTCAAACGAAAACTCAGCCACAGGCAGTTTACACAATCGCGTAATTGGTCGTGTATATGTGGATTTGGCTGTACGTACTTTCACTACACGTACATGCCCATCCTTTCCCGGAAATACTTCCTCTATTCTTCCCATTTCCCACTGATTTGGGGGGAGGAGAGGATTCTGTACCAGAACAAGATCGTTCTTTTTTAGGCGTGTATTTTCCGTCTGCCATTTGTAGCGGTTCTGGAGATGCGTGAGATAATCTCTCGTCCAGTGTCTCCAGAGCTGCTCGTGGAATTTTTGCATTGCTCTCCATCTTGTAAGATGCGAAATATTTGCATTTTCCACGGATTGCATTGGGGGTGCCAACGTGGGCCCTCCGATTAGGAAGTGGGCCGGTGTGAGAGGCGCGTAATCATCTGGGCTGTCACTCAGAGCGGCAATCGGTCGCGAGTTTAAACTGGCTTCGATTTTACAGAGTAACGTCTGTAATTCTTCGCTCGTGGGAGTGAATTCTCCTATGATGCGCTTCAAATGATGCTTCACTGATTTGACACCAGCTTCCTGCATCCCACCAAAATGGGGGGCACTGGGTGGATTAAATTTCCACCGAATGCCCTTCTGGCCACATTCGTTTCGCATTTCCGGCGTTTTACACACCATATTGAAATGTTTTCTTAATTCACGATCTGCACCGACGAAATTTGTCCCGTTGTCACTGCGTATGCAGGACGGGATTCCTCGTCGGGCAATGAATCGCTCCAATGCAGCCAAAAATGCACTCGTCGTGTAATCGTGGACGAGTTCAATGTGTATAGCCCTTGTAGCGAAGCAGACAAAAACCGCTATGTACGCTTTATGAGCTGTTTTTCCTCGGCCCGCGGAGTCGCGGACTTTGTACGGTCCCGCATAATCAACTCCGCAGTTTAGAAAAGCCCGGGCTGGACGACTTCGTTCCAAGGTCAAATCCTGCATGATCTGCGTGGAGGTTTGTGCCCTCCATCTCACGCATTTCATGCATTGATGAATGACCTTTCGAGCCGTGGTTCTGCAACCGAGGATCCAAAATTGCTGTTTTACCATGGATATCGTCAGCTGCAAGCCCCCATGCAACGTATTTACGTGGCACTGCCGGATTATCATGGTGGACACATGATGTTTTGGCAAAATTATGGGGTGCTTCGCTTCCCATGCCAGCGTCGCATTCTCCAATCGTCCACCTACCCTTAAGACATCGTGGGCGTCTAGGAACGGGTTCAGACGTTTTAATGGAGATTTCGCGGGAATTTCCCTGCGCTTTTTTAAGCACTGGTACTCGCCCGCGAAGTGCGTTCGCTGTATGTAGCGGACGATTCTTTCCTTGGCGAGCTGCAATTCTGAAGCTTCGACAATGTTTGCATCGAACGACCTTCGCTCACCTTGCATCGGTCTTCGTAATCGGAGACAATATGCAGTTACGCGAAGTAGCTTACTCCAGGTTGAGAATCGAAACACGAATTCCCATTCTTTCTCTGGAGTTGCAACGTGGGCGTGCGGAATGCGCTTGCCCTCGCTCGTATCGATGGAATCAGGCGTTTTCGGCCAATTTTCTTCAGATTGTCTCAACCATGCTGGTCCAGAAATCCATAGCTTCGACTGAATGAGTTCCGCTGCTTCGACACCGCGCGAATTCAAATCCGCGGGATTGAAGCGGGTGGGAACGTGTCTCCATTCAGCCTTCGGAAGCAAGGTTTGGATTTTTGATACTCGGTTGGCTATCACAACCTTCCAAGTCGAAGCATGTTTTTTCAACCAAGCAAGTGTAATAGTGGAATCTGACCAACAGATTATGCGGTCAATTTTTATGGAAAGTGACCGTCCCACGTGCACTATAAGCTCGGTAAGCAGTACAGCTCCATTCAATTCGAGAATCGGAATCGACTGCGTTTTTATAGGAGCCACCCTCGTTTTTGCCATGATCAAGGTTGTGTAAACTTCCTCGGTCATGGTCGTTACGCGTAAATACGTAACGGCCGAGTACGCTCCGAGCGAAGCATCGCAGAATCCGTGTAATTCCACCGAAACTGTGTCTGCTCCGTAACGGATCCATCTGGGAAATTTTACTTTTTCCAAACTGCTCCAATCCTCGCAAAACGTGTTCCACGTTTTTAACGTATTCGCGGAGACATGATCGTCCCACTGGATTTTTTCCAGCCATTGGGATTGCATCAAAATCTTCGCCCGAATTACGACTGGTGATAACCAGCCGAGCGGATCGTAAAGTTTGGCTATTTCGGAAAACAAAGTTCGTTTTGTAATCGGACCTGCAGCCGGTTGAAACCGTTGCAGGTTGAAATAGAAGTAATCACCCGATGGTATCCATCGCAATCCGAGCACCTTGAGTTCGGTGTCATCGAATAAGGTGAGATCGACAGCGTGGGAGTGAGAACTTTGTGGGATGTTTCGCAGTAATTTCTGTGAATTGCCAGCCCACTTTCTCAATTTAAACCCGCCGCCCTGTAGGAGTTCGCAAACTTGAATACGAATTTTTTCCAATAGGGTCGTATCGGGTGCCCCCATAAATACGTCATCAACGTATATGTCTTTCTCGAGTATCGGAGCGGCGAGAGGAAATCTGTCACCGTCCCGTTTTTTCAGCTCGAGAAGAGTACGCATCGATAAATATGGTGCACACGCCGTTCCGTACGTAACGGTGTTTAATTCGAAGGCTTGAAGCCCTTCGGTTTCGGGCGTGCGCCATAAGATGCACTGAAATCGACGATCCTGCGGGGCGACGAGAATTTGTCGGAACATTTTCTCGATATCGGCCACCAACACGTATTCGTACAGCCTCCATCTCGTCAAAACGGACGTGATGTCGTTCTGCAATTTCGGCCCTACGTGTAGGATGTCGTTTAGGGAGTTTCCACCCACCGTACGGCTCGTCGCATTAAACACGACTCGCAGTTTGGTAGTTGCACTCTCCGTACGGATGACCGCTCGATGCGGAATGTAGAGTCTGGATTTTTCAGAGGGCTCGATACGAGTCATGTGTTCCAACGACTCATACTCCGTGAGAAATTCTTGATATTCTCGTACGAGGGTCTGATCCTTGTCCAATTTCCTTCTCAACCTTGTCAATGCGGAGAGGGCGATACGGAGTGAATCTCCCAATGCACCTTCCGGTTTCGGATGATTAAACGGCAATCGGACAATAAATCTTCCCGTTGCATCCCGTGCGACAGTTTTTTGGAAATGAGCTTCGCACTCTTCCTCTGCTTTTGTAAGCACCGAGGTCGAGGGAATTTCTTCAATTTCCCAGAACCGTCGAATCGCGTGATCCAGCGATTCGAATATGTTGCAATGCAACGTTCGCACGTGACCCTGGGCCTTGCTCGCTGCATCTATCGGTCCGGATAATATCCAGCCAAATGCAGTTTCTTGTGCAATAGGCCCTTCGGGAGATATTCGACGGAATCCCGACCGAATAACTTGAGCGTACAAATCTGCGCCGATCAAAACTTCAATGTTTTGGCCAGACGCGGGCTCGGGATCGGCGAGCTTCAGGTTTCGCAACGCGTCGTTATCGAGCGCGTTTACAGATGGCGAGGCATAACTCGTGATTTTTGTCACGACGTACGCTCTCGCCGAAACCACAGGAGTTACCCCGGAAGCCGTTCCCAAATTCAGCCCTACGCTGTACTTGATTTTTTGGGTCCGACCACCCCCCAAGCCCGATACCGTGGCTGAGGTTTTCTTCCTCGGGAGGTTGAGGTCATTCCTCAATTTCGCCGAGATGAAGGATGTTTCGGACCCTTGATCTAACAGCGCGCGCGTTAAACGCGACGCACCGTTTTCTCCGTACACTCGTACGATCGCGGTTGCTAATAGCACCGGCCTCGGTACGTCTGTACTTGCTGTACAGTGTGACGTAGTGGCCCGTGACGTAGCTGCTTGCGCGTTCGAGGTATCGGTGCCGGCTTTCGCCTTAGCCGTACGGCGCTGTGGAGGGGCGTTATCTCGCCGTTCCTCGCGCTTGCCGTTCGAATATTTCGATTTCGGCTTTTGGCTTTCCGCCTCTTTTTCGCGTTGTTCGAAATGCAACAGGATGTGATGCCTGCCACTGCATCTCGAACAACCTTGTTGGCTCCGGCAGCTTCTTACGTCGTGATCCAGGGCCAGACAGGCTATACATCCCTGACTGTCCTTTATGATCTGGTAACGTACCAGTGCGGAGAAACGCTTAAATGTGCCGCATTCCGAGAGTGCATGCGTTTGTCCGCAAATCGTGCACTTTCGCTGCGCAGGGGGGGAATCCACGACGGTGTTATGACTCCGTACTCGTGGCTTCTGTTCCTGTTTTGAGGCAATTTTGCGGTTATGTTCGTCAATTACGGACATAGCCCGCGCCTCCTGATCGAGGAATCTGAATATCTCCTCTATCATCGGATATTCCGTTGACATTTTGAGGGATCGTTCCCATTCCCCTTGCAACGCGGCATCGAATTGGCTCGCTACAATATGCGTGAGCAGCCAACTAAGCTGCTCTTCCGCTTTTCCTTTTTTAGCAAGGATAGCGAGTGCTTGCCGAAAGCCTATGGTAACCTGCTGAACACTCGACAGGTCGCCCTTTCGGATTTTTGTCAATCTCAGAATCCGATCAAGTAGCTTGATCAGTACCAAGCGTGGGAGCCCGAATTCTGCTTTCAGGGTCGACCACGCTACTGAGAAATTTGAATCCGTTATCGCAAGAGATGCGATAGCGGCTGCGGCTCTCCCGGTTATACAGGTGTTTAGGTATTGTAACCTTTGCACATCCGTTAACGTGGGGTTGTTTATTACTCCGGCGGTAAATAGGTCCTCGAAATGTTCCCATTTCGAAGGATCCCCGTCGAATTTCTCCAACCTCATCTTCGGGAGTTCGATCGGTATTGTTTGCTGGATTTCCGACATCACCGTTCTTGGACCTGTGGTGAGTCGGGTTATTTCCGCGGCCACATAGGCCTGGAACTCCAGAAACTCGTTTTCGGTTTCCCCCATGAAATCCCGTTGGAACAACTCGTAATCGTGTCGTTTCCCAGGAGGGAGAAGCCTACACACGACCATATACTGATCGTTCATCTGTTGCCACAGAGTTTTAACGTAATCGAGCCTTTCTTCCAGAATTTTCTGGGTATATTTGGCTCGACCCATCTTTTTGAGGTTGATGGATGCCCTATTTATCCGTTCCATCCCTCTGGTCAGGTTCTCGAGGTATGCCCCAAGGTCAGACCAGTCGGGATCGTTCGTAACGGACATAGTTGTTGAAGGTTAAACGCTTCTAAACAACCGTACACGGAAGAAACTCACGTGTTATACGTCCAACACTTCCCTTTCTCCGATTACCTCAATATCCGGCTCGAAGGACCTTATGTTAAAAAGTAATGGATATATACTTTTAACGTGTGAGTCCGGATAGAGGTGTGGGAGTATTATAGGGGAAGTGAATCGGACACAAATGATTTTCTTTTCGTCGGTCTTAAAGACCGACCTTTTATTACAAAATAGACAAAAAAAAACAGAAAATCAAATGAACAATTATAATAAAGCAAAATTAACGAGACTGTTCTAACAATATGAATTAATGTGGCCTCGTGTCTGGCCTAGCTCGAGGCTGGGTCGCCGAACTCGCTAGATTGAGGCAGGCCAAGATTCCTATGAACAGAAAAACACGACTATGTGTTAGACACACGTACACGTTATACGTATCTTCGTCGCGCTCGTTTGCTCGCGCTCCTGGCTTCGTAATTCGAACGCACCGGAGCGGAGAATTGTAAACTTTCGTAAATTACGAAATATAAGTGGACTGTATTTTGGCTAGGAAAAGAATTAAACTTCTTTTCCTCGCCGATTCAGTGGTCGATTGCCCAGTGGACGGGGATGCAAGAGGAGGTTGTAAGGCTCCTAATGCACTGTTCCCGTGAATATGCACACTGAGTCTGTGCGTCGAGTCGCACTGCAGTGCACTGCACGACCGTCAATCTGCGGCTTCTCTTAACACGTTCCAACAGATGACTTATTTGGCCGAGAGTTACACTGCGAAGCCCGACAACACGTTGTTCACTGCACGAATACACTACTCGACGTGATACGTTGCAGTATTTTGAACTACGCGGGGGCCTGACCCACGACTCCGTTACTTCTCCGCACTGGTGCTCCTCTAAACGTTACACCGGCGGGATCTGTAGAAATAAGGAGGCGAAGACCGAAAATCACACGTCCAAAATGGACGTGGACCTGACTACAGTGAGCCCACCAGGAGGTACACCACGTAGGTGCCTCCCTTTTGGTGTCTCCTAAGCCGAAGGGCAATCACACAGAAGTATGGGCGGTATCGCCGACTTCTGTATGATTCAACGTGTATACGTTGGAATCGACCTTTAAATTCCGCACAGGAGGGGTCGAACACCCTATTGGTGTATTCTCGAGCCCTCCAAAATATGCAGTAAATTTAAATTAATTAGACTCGATCGAGATTTGCTCGAACGAGAAGCAGGTGAACTTGCACGAATCGAGATGCGAATCGTGTTTTCCAAGCAAGGTGGGAATGAATTTCCGACCTTTTCGAGCAAGGCTCGCTACACCCTTTTAAACAGCAGTCTTTATGGCTTTCTCGCAAGAGGATTTTCCCTCTTCAATCGCGATTAACTTCTGATCGAAATATGATCGGGAGCCGATGCGTCTCGGTCAGAAGTCGCCGTAAGAATGATACGGATTGACAGCCGAAGACGTCGCCGCGGTACTCTTACTGGTCGTTCCGTGGCGCTGTCTGAATTTCGGCCGTCTCTCCTTGTCACATTATTGGCGCACTACTCTCTCACGGTACTGACGTCACTAACACCGTTAGCACACTCGAATCGAAAGGTAATGAGCCGTTACCGATGCCAGAAAAACTAATAATACACACGTTTTTCAATCACCGTTCGCTATACAAATCCAATTAGAGATAATCTCTTGGTTATTGTACGTTAACAGGATTAACGGTAATTGCGGCCGAGGCTAATCGCTCGGCATTATGCAATCTTTAAACACTTTTAATTACTGCAAGACGGATACAAGTTCGAACATCGAATTTACATGAAACTTGTAACAAAGGATGCAGAATGTTTTTACCATATAGGGTGCCCCGGGATTTTTCCGCTAAACGGTTTAATCTTGTGCCTAAAGAAGACAAAAATGTTATATGAAGTTTGCAAATTAACGTTTTGTTACAGAGATATAAACAAATAATGAAAAATGGTTACTCACTATTTTTTAATTCTCATTTCAAAATGATGTCTTTCTTCTCAAATGCATATTTAATATCAATGAAAAATTGAATTTATTGCTCTACGTGTATAGTGACTCAGTATCTTGTTGCATTTTAATAACTACATTTTATACGCCGTACGATATCCTCATATGAAGTCACTTCCATGTTAGTACACTTCATAATTGTCTAATTGTTAGTAAAGCTATTAGTATCACCATGCAACAATACCTGTTTACCGTATGGTTTGCATAGTTACAAGGGCATTGAATAAATCTGTGTTTATCAACACTCATTTCCAACTATGAAACAGACTCGCGCGAAGGAAAGGAATGACTGAATACTTAAATTCAGTAAAATACTAAAAGTATTTATTTGATTATATCTCAGTAACAAAATGTTAATTCGCAAACTTCATGTAACATTTTTTTTTCTTTTAGACCCAAGATTAAGCTCTCGTAGTAAAAGAAAGAATTGCATCTTCCTTGTTACAAGATTTCGAATTGTACTTTATTAAGAACATACTGATTTTTCACAGTTAATGAAACTTTCGAATCTCTGTATCGAAAAAATACGAAAACATGACATATCAGGTTTTACCATCAAACCACAGAATGAATGTACTTACTATTGAAAATTATCTTAAAGATTTCATCTCGTGAACAATGACATATTTAAAATACTATAATTCAAACATCTAATATACTAAAAATCAGTGAAACGTTAAATAGAGTAGTATCTGTTTTGCAACTAAATTCAGTCACTGCATCCCAGACAACCGTGCGTCAGATGAAATTACTCGTAAGTCTCGGAAAGTCTCGATAATAGCGTACGTGTTTTGAATAATGGCTTTTAATAACGCCACTCGAATGTCCATAACTCACAGTGCCTGGAATTGATTCACACAGTAGTTCCCAGTTCGTTGTTAATTCCACCATGCATCATTCCTTTTATGTTTCTTTGCTCGAACCATCAAACCAGTGTTTCGTTCCTCAAAAAAAGAATTCATTGAAGCCTCAGTGCATTGAAAATGTGCAAGAAAATCGCCTGTAAAACGCGTTAAGCTTCCAGAGTCGACAAATCTAATATCCGGTTCGGAAATACTTCCTTTTTTCTGTGTAACCGTACATCGCGCGTTTCGTTCATAATTAAAAGATTCCAGTGTTATGTTTCATACAGAAAGAATAACAAGAAAGTTCTTCCTGAATAATATACACACACAAAGGATTAGTATACGTGTGTTATTTTTTATTTATTATTTACTTGGGTAATTAACACACCGAAGTTCAATTATATACACAATTCATAATAATAAATAAAAATTCGATATGACATAGCCAGTGATGGATTTAGGATTTCGAGGAGTCGAAAATCCTACACGTAGAAAATAGAAGTATTAAAATTTTTATAATTGTCTAACATTTGTCAAGGAATAAAGAAATCGCTTGAAGCGATTAAAATTAAGCCAAAATTTAGACAACCGTTCATGACTCATTTTGAATGATTTTTAAAGAGTATGAAAGAAACCTTTAGTTCCCTTTGTTGCAGCTTATAGTGGGCAAACAAATACATTCGAATATAGCATGAACTTCAAATGACCTTGACTATTATATGGATGTCGACGAGGTAACAAAAATAAATAACATGATGAAATGTTGGATTATGTAGTTACCAATTATGTAAAACTTTTGCCTCTTCACGGGTACTGGTCTAGCAACCATCATGTTAACAATGAGCTACTAGAAAGTTTTGATGAAATGTAATCTTAAAAACTATCCTTAATTTAAATGTTTACAATTTAATTATTTTTCAGTCTAGGGGAAACTGGAGTCGATAGTAACATTTTGATTTCGGAATATCATAACTCGAAAAGTATTACACTTAGAACAAAATGTTTGTACGAAATGTTACCTAGTTATTTGACATTGCCCACTCTTAGTAATAAATCCTTTTTTAGAATCAATAATTTTGTGAAGATACTCTTTCCGGAAACACATGTTTTTTTTACATTTTTAGATGATTTTAATATGTCCATATGAAATTGAATTTTGTAAGAAATATGTTTTCACAAAGTGACCTCTGAACTTGCAGTTTAAAAATAAATATGTTCAAATTAATACTTCTGTTATCGCGTCTTTATTCTGAAATGACAAACTTTTTAAAAATTGCTTGCAAGGTGAGTTCGTCACATCTTGCTTCTTCCAACAAATAATTGGTATATGTATATACATTGGAATTAAGATTTTATTTTAGCAGGACGAATATTATTCTTTCATCATGCATTTGTAGTTTTATTTTAGTACTTTGTTTAACATCTACTAGAATTATTCATTTTATTGTGCGTAGTTAGAAAATTAAGATTACAAATTTTAATCACAAGTACTTACACAATTGTGACTGCATATTTGTAAACAAAATTGAAATATTTTAACATTTTGCTTTAATTCTGTAACTATGCACAACAAAAAAAGATAGTTCCAGTAAATGTTATCCAGTTTAGAATAAAAGCTATTTAAATAACAAAAGAATTTTTTTCTTCTAAAAGTTGCTCTACAAGAATTTGTTGCCGGTGAAAAGAATAATATCGACCTGAAACATTTAATTAAAACATGAAAGAAAAAAATGAAGTTCATATTCAAAAGGATGATGCTAAAGGAACAACTGAAAATGAAATTTGCTCTCTTAGAAAATGTATTGTACAATATACATTTTGTTTTCCAAACCTCCTAATTCTTTTCAATTAAATTGCAGATTTATATTGTTTAATATTATTAAATTTCTGCCCGATGTACTTTCCCCGACTGTTATTGTCAGTAATTTATGATGGAGCTTTACAACAAATTCAATTTATGTGACCAGGAAAGTTGGAGATTCTAATTTAATTTCAAAATTCAGATTAAAGCGTAGAATATTCATTGGACGCAAAATGTACAAGCTTCGCTCTAAACTCGAAAACTCTACAATACTGTGTCATTCATTTTCTTGAAAATGTTAATGTGTTTTATACGTA